ACAGGAATTGGAGAAACCTCAGCTGGTGGAAGGTGTCTCTGCCCATGGCAGGGGTGGGAATGGATGAGCTTTAAGGTCCCTCCCAACCCAAACCAGTCTGGGATTCTGTGACCTGGGCAAAGGGGGGACAGTAGCATTTCTCTGACACTTGTCCAGAGGCTCTCCCTGGGCAGTAAAGATGGGCATCTCCAGGGCAAAACAAGCTCCAGCACAGATTCACAGCATCAATTTGCTCATCACAGCAGCACAAGGAGTTGTTACTGGAAGGATTTTCTTTCTTCCCAGTGTCTGCAGATGAAAACTTCCAGAGAAAAAAAGATCAAATTTGCAAGTGCTTTTCAAAGGAAAAACTTGCTGAGCTGTTTGATTTGAAGTCAATTTGGTCTGAATATGTTGGGTTTGAATCAAACACGTCTAACAATGCAATAAACCACTGATGTGCAGTTTCCTCTCAGCAGGGTATTTCCGGAGCAGGGAAGGGTGTGAATACAGCCCTGGACCACGTTCAGGGCTCCACTCTGGTCCCTCTGAGGCTGCTCCTTCCCACCAGGCAGCAAATGTTCTTCTGACAGGTTTTACACATGTCACCCCAGGAGGGGGGTGTGCCCTGCAGGGAATGGCACTGGGGGGTTGGGGGAAAATGGGGCCAAACTCCCACACTCCAAGTCCTCTGGGGTGAGGAATGTGGGTCCACACTGGATCACAGAACCCCAGACTGGTTTGGGTGTGAGGGACCTTAAAGCTCATCTCGTTCCATCCCCTGCCAAGGGACACGTCCCACTATCTCAGGTTGCTCCAAGCCCCTCCAGCCCGGCCTTGGACAATTCCAGGGATGGGGCAGCCACAGCTTCTCTGGGCAACCTCCTCCAGTGGCACTTAATTCCAGTGCTCAAATCAGTCCAAAGCTCTTGCAGACAGGATTTGCTCAACAAAAACACACAAACGGTGCTATTTGGGTTTAAAATCCTGAAAGGGATGATGCCCTAGGCCAGGTCTGAACACAGTGGCAGGAATTTTGCACACATCAGTTGGCAAATAGAAAAGTTAGAGAAGATGTAATGGCCATAAACTAAAACACAAGGAGTTCCACCTCAACATGAGGGAGAACTTCTTTCCATGGAGGGTGGCAGAGCACTGGAACAGCTGCCTGATCCTGAGATCAAAATCTACCCCCTTCACTTCCAAAATCCTATGTATGTGCTGGGACTACCAGAGCTGCCCCACAACCACCAGAAGGAACAAATTCACCAAATGGGCCAGCTCAGAGGAGAACCTTCCTCTCCTTCTGCATTCTTTCCAACACCAACCTACATCTGGCCCAGAACCAGGGCCACCTGCACTCAGGATCTCCAAACACTGCAATCCACACCTTGAAGAGCCTGTAAAACAAACACTCCTTGTGCTGGAACCCACACCAGGCTCAGTGTTAGCTCTGTGCCTGCAAATAACCAGTGTTAGCTCTGTGCCTGCAAATAAACTCTGTGCAGTGATTTATTGCACACAATCAGACAGGATGACTAGCAGAGGCTTTTCTCTGACACTCCCCCAAGGTTGGAATCTTCTCCCTTGTTTAAAATAAATTAAGCAACTCCCAGACATGGGGACATGCTTTCATTTTGGATCACATCACAGCCAAATGCAAATGTGTGACCTCATGGGTCAGAACATTACTCAGTAACCCTCAAGATGAGCAGCAGCAGGAGGCTGCAGCTCCAGGCTTCAGCAGAGAGCTCTCCCCTCAGCAAAGACAGTGTCAGCCCAGCCCCTGGGCTCCCTCTGAGCTCACAGCAGCACTAAACGCATTAGTGCTCATTGCAGATGATTTGTGGGCAAGAAACAGCAGCACAGGAGCTTCCAGCAACCCCCCAGCCCTGTCACAGCAGCACAAGGGATGCGTCTGCCCAGGGCAGGGTGACAGGAGCTCAGACCACACTGAGCACTGATGCCCCAGATCCCCCACCCCCAGCCAGGGGGGAGCAGCTGCAAGGGCTGAGCCAGCAGAAGGTTCCTGGCAGGTCCAGAGCTGCTGGCAAGGCCAGGGATGGAGCATGTGCTGCAGGGAGCAGCACAGGAGCAGGCCAGGAGGGGGACAGAGCCCTCAGGGAGACATGGGATCAAACAGCCATGTCAGCACGTGCACCCTAACCCTTCCCTTGGGCATCCTTATCCATCCCTATCCAGCCTTATCCATCCTTGTCCTTCCTAGCTGCCACAAGCACTCCCAGGGTGGGCAGCAGGACTCAGCTGCAGGGCACTGCTGCCCCACAGCCCTGGGACCCCGAGGGTGCCAGAGTGTGCCAGTGCCACCCCCCCACTGCCAGGGGTGCCCTCCTGACCCCCTTGCACCCCAGATCCCAGCAGCCTGAGGATGTCCCCAAAGCAGAGCCAGCCCCTCTCCACCTCTCCATTGGAATCCACCCCTGCAGGCCATGCCTCAAACCCAACCCACTGCAAAAATAACCTTCACACCCCAAACCCACACTCCCACCAGCCCAGCAAGGCACCCAAAATCCCCCTCGATGCTCCTGTGAGCAGCCATCCTGCAGGAATGTCTTTGAGGGGACCATCCCACAAGCTGCCAAGAGTTAAAACCTCCTGGTGACGAGCCCCACAACCTTGGAACTAAAGCTTTGCTCCAGAAATGTGAATGCAAAGAAAAGGAAGATCATCTGAAGGTAACTCTCCTCTTGGCTTCCCTGCAGGAGGAAGATCAGAGAATCACAGAATCACAGAATCAACCAGGTTGGAAAAGATCTCCAAGATCATCGAGTCCATCCCTGATCCAACCCCGCCGTGGTTCCCAGCCCATGGCACTGATGCCACATCCAGTTTCACCTCAAACACCTCTAGGGATGGTGACTCCAACCCTCCCTGGGCAGCCCATTCCAATGGTTGAGCACTCTCTCTGTAAAAAATTTCTTTCCAATATCCAACCTAAACCTCCCCTGGCACAGCTGAACACCGAGCCCTCTTGTCCTACTGCTGGTTCCTGGGAGAAGAGACCAACCCCCACCTTGCTCCCCCCTCCTGTCAGGCGGTTGTAGAGAGTGATGAGGCCTCCCCTGAAATGAGAGATGCTGGAATGCTCCCAGGCTGGCTCCCACAGCAGCATCCCATCATTTCAGAAGAGCCTGACTCTGTTCACCCGGGGTCTAACCCCACCGAGGACAGTTCCCTGAGCCACACAACCCCTGTGCTGCAGGACTGAGAGGCTGCTGCTCTCCTGCTCCAGCCACCAGCCCCTACAGCTGGAAGTTCACTGTCCCCTTCACCCTGAAGCCAGATGTGCTGCTCTCCCTGGCTCAGTGCAGCCTCAAGGCAACCCCGTGGGGGCTGGCAGGGAAGGGATGGCACAGGGAACATCCTGCTTGGCAAGGTGTCATCCCTGAGCCAGGGGCTGTCCCAGTGTCACCTGAGAGCCTGGGCTGGCACAGCACCCACTCCTGGGGTGAGGCACGAGGCAGAGCTGCTGGTCACTGTGGGCCAGGGAGATCCCACTCCACCTGTGACCTGCTCCAAAACACCCTGGGCAAACTGGAGGAACAAGAGGGGATTTGCAGAATCCCACCAGCATGGCCAGTCCAGACCCCCTGTCCTCTGAGGGGGAGCATGCAGGTAGGAAAGCAAATATTTCCTATTTTCTACCCAACCCCTGCACTCCAACCACAATGGATGTCAGGAATCTCCATCACCACAGCTCTTAGAGCCAGTTAGGCCCCTCAGAAGAAAGCCCAGCACTTCATTACACCCTGACAAAGACAGCTCCTTCACCTCTCAAGATCTCATGAAACACAGCCAGCTCTCTTTCAGCCACTTCTCCTGAGTGGCCCAGAGCTCCTAAATTAAATCTCAGGCTCTGGATGCATTTTTCCTGAGAAAATGCCCGAGTGCCTCATCCCCAACCTGAGTCACAGCCCAGGATTAGCTGGGAGGGAGCCCAGGCCGGGCTGACGTCACACCGGGACACACACTGAGCAAAACCCCAGGAGCAGCTCAGCCCCTGCCCCGGGGAGGGACGGGGGAGACAAGGAAGGAACAAGAGGAAACGTAAGAGGGAACTCGTCAGAACTGCCGGCCGTGCCCTGGCCCCGCTCCAGCCACTCAAGGTGAACAACTTCCATTCGCAGCACTTGCACCCAACTTTCACAATAGCTCATTATTCTGTGGTGCTGCTGAGCAATGTTTGCCTTTCTCCTCTGTGCCCTGGGGGATCTTTCCCAGATCCACGCTTCCCCCTCTGAAAATACAAGGCCTTGAAAGCAGGAACACGGTAAAGTCACTTGAAAAGGAAAAAAAAAACCCACAGTGTTCGATGATCAGGGAGGTCCAGTCAATGTGAACCAATTTTGCAGTTTTTCCTTGGCTGCCTCGCGACACAAACAGGGCTGTGCCAGTGTCTGGGTGACCCCAAACCTGGTTCACAGAATCACAGAATATTCTGAGTTGGAAGAGACCCACAAGGATCATCAAGTCCAACTCTCAAGTGAGCGTGGGCACCAAACCCACAACCCTGGTGTTCTCAGAACCGTGCCCTGACCAGCTGAGCTTTCCTCAGGTTAGAACATTCAGCCACACGTGGGTTTAGAGCTGTAATTCTATGTCTTTTAGACTGAGCTTCCTTATTGCATTTGAGGCCTTCAAACCTGGGTGCTTGAAGACGAGAAAAGCAAGATGCCTTAAAAATAAAGACAAGGAAATCTGCCCCCAGGTGAAAGAATCCCAAACCAAAAGTGAGATGCCCTAAGGAAGATCCACAGGGGGAAGGGGAAAAGAAGCCTCTCCTAGTGCTGCCCAGCCTCCTCATTCACACACTCCCTTTAGCAGCTTCTTACTCATATATCCTGGCTACAGCCATTACATTTCTTTCCCAGAACTCTGGCAAATTAATTAAAAAGGAAGTTAAAATCAGCCTGTTTGGTGCTCCTTGCCCCAGCAGAAGGGAGCAGAGCTGGCCTTACATGTTCAGCTCCCAACTACAGGTGGAAAATAGCACCACTCACCTCTGCAAGGTAAAGGAGGCAGAACTTCCGATCTTCTGAACCTGGAACGAAGGAAAAACAGGATCAGAACGAAGCTCTAGCTGCATTTCTGCCAGTGGAGCCACTGGCAGAGGAACTGGCTGAGGGACAGCACTGAATGGATATTTGTTGTTGTGCCCCTGCAGTACCAGGCTGTGAGCTGGGTGATGTATGTGGCATCTGCCGGGGCGGGCCCGGGCGTGGAATCCTGCATGGGCTCACTGCGCTGTCAGGGATTCTCCTTTGGGATCATCCCTCTGGAAAAGGGGGTTGTTTCCTTCACAGGCCAAGTGCTGGCTCTCCTGCCCAACCTGCCCTGGCACATGCAGCCTGTGGCACCTTCCCAGGGGTGTGGAGGTCCTGCAGTGCCACCCTGGGCACTAAGGATGGGTCTTTCTCACCTCACCTCTGTGGGCACTTTGCTCCCAGAGAAGCTCCTCTCCCCACATCCTTGCCCATTCCCACCCTTGGGTGGCCCTGGTTGTCCTCCTGTCTGTCCCAGCCTCCATCATACCAGTGGCTGGGGACAGTGACTCTCCAAGGACATGGAGCTGAATTCCAGGGCAATGGGAAGTGGCTGACATGGGGCAGAGGGAAGAGCTCATCCTGCTCCACTGGGCTGAGGGCAAAGCCCCCAAGCTCCCACCAGAGTGGAAGACCTGGCCAAGGAACCTGCCCTTCCACAGTTTTGGGAAAGGAGATGGTGCTGCAGACAGTGCAGTGACCAACACTGATCCACAGCTTGCTTCATCATGGAGCAGCCCAGTGCAGCTCCTCACTTGCTGCCAGCTGTCCCAGGGGATGGGTTATACTGCAGATGCTCCACCAGGCTGGTTCCTGCAGGTCTGACCTTCCCTGTACCCAACGAAAAGTCATCCCTGAAGATTTGCCCCGGCCTCTGTGTGTGCCCAGCCCTGAGGGGAGCAGCTCCTGGCACTCATCAGCCTCACAGAGGACACAAAGCTGCACCAGGGCAGGCTCACCTCAGCTCCAAAGCAGGACAGCCCATCTCCAGGAGCTGGTTTGCTCTTCCACACCACTCTGCCCTGCCCCAGCTCTGCCCTTGGCAGCAGGCAGCACCACAGGCCTGCAGCTTTCCTAATGCCCTTAACGAGCTCATTATCTGTGCCATGAGATCAGAGCTGCAGGCTGGGCACGGCTGCAGATCCCACTGAAAGCAGTGTCAGCACAAGCTCTGCTTCATTTCAGCAGCCTGAGCTGTGCTCGGTGGGAACAGGCTCTGCACAGTGCTGGAAACACCCTGTCCCCCAGAGGAAAGCAATTCTGCTGCTGCAGGCAGCAGCCAAATGGCAAGATAAGAGCTGTGACCCACTGAGGGACTCAGATGCCTCTCGAGTCACCACCCCATGGGCAATGAGAAACCCATGAGTAAGTGGTCTGGAGCCCTTTGCTGGGTGTCTCTTTCACCTGCCCTTTGGAGGGCTGCAGGTTTGTCTCCACTGCCAGCTTCACTTCTAAAGCACAGTGCAGGAGATGGGCTGGAAAATCACCAAGGACACACCAGGACACTGTGTCACAGCAGCTGCTGCAGCCCAGCACCGTGAGGAACCCCTGTGTGTTCCCAAAACCTTCCCTGTGCTCCCCTGGACAAGCTGAGGGTCAGGGAAGCAGCCTGGCCCCAGGGCTGCCCCTCCAAATCATCCCTTCCAGAAGGGGAGCAGTGCTGGACCCTTGAGGGCACGTGATGAACGGGCCTGGCTGGGAGCCCATGGCTCACCTCTGCACCCCAGAACACCATTCACCGTTCCCCTCTTCCAGAAATCCCGGCAGGACCATCAGGGAACATTTTCCTTGCTGAGCCCAAGTCTCTGATGGGAGCCACGGGAGGATTTGGAGGCAGGATTCAACCAGGTGCTGGCACACCACGAGTCCACCATCCCCTGCTGCTGCTGCTCCTTCCCCAGGGGTCAGCACTACAACACCCAGCTCCTCAGCCAGGCTCTGCTCCTCCCTGCACCAGGACCAAAGCTCTCCAGGTTGCCTTGCAAGGCAGATTACAGAAGACCAGAACATCCCAGCCACGATCCCTCAGGAGCTTGAGCCGTGTCTTCCTGGGTGATGTGAGGAACAAGTCATCCTCAGTAAAGGAAGGTGACAGTGGGGTGTAACAGCCCAGGGAACGACCCTTGGGCTCCTGTTGATTCCTTCTGGTTCTGACAAGGTCCAAAACCATCAGAATTAAGTTCCCTTCCAAATTCCCCTCCACTGAGCTATGAATCTTGGCACAACCTCCACAGCCAGCAGCTCCTGTTCCCTGTCCCTCCAAGATTTGCTGCTGCCCATGGCCAAGCAGCCCAGTGCCTACAGGACACACACAGCAGGGAGCCACTCTAGGCCAAGGAATGCCTTAATACCCATTTTCTCCCAGTAGCTGCCTTTAGGCAGCACAAAGGGAGGTCAGAGACTGCCCAGCCCAGCAGCTGGGCTGGAGCCAGGGCCGAGCCCTGGTGAGGCACGAGGGGAGGCTGGAGGGCGATGGCAAAGCCAGGAAAGGCAGAGCCAGGGGCAGATTCCACCACAAACCAGGTTTGCCAGGATTCCTTCCACAGGAGTGGAAGTCTCCAAGAGAGTCAGGCTGGAGCACCAGAGCCTGATGTGCCCTGGAGCCATGGGATGAGCACAGAGACCATGAAAAACATGGAGAGAGGCACAACCTCACACCACAGAGGCAGCAGATGCTCCTCACATCTTTCTGACAGACAGCAGCACAGCACACACTATCAGCCAAATTCAGGGGAGCTCCTGAAATAAGCAGGATTTAAAAAAACTCACTCGAAGATATTTCCTTCTCCTCCTGCTGTGCTGTGCTGGGGACTGGCTTGGCTTCCAGAGCAACGTGAACTGTCCCTGTGCCAGGGTGTGCTCAGCACCCCGAGGAGGGTGTGAGCTCTGTGGGGACACGTCCCCCTCATCCTGCACACCCACGCTGACTTACACAGCTCCCAGCACCGCCCTGGCTCTGCCACTTCCCTGTGCAGCCCGTGGAAAACACCCAGGATTCGGTGGTGCATGTGTGGTGCCAGGTCCAAAGGAAGGGAGCGGAGGGAAGGTGGTGGTGCTGCTCCTTTGCACAGCCTGTACAGGGCCCAGGGACCTGTGGCAATGCCCAGGGTGAGGGCAGACACCCTGACCCCCAGATCCTCACATCTGCTCAGGGCAGGGTGCTGGGAGGGCACAGAGGGCACACACACACAGCTGGCTGCCAAGTGGGCTTGTCACCCACTGTGGCACAGGCCCCCAGGGAAGTGTGGCAGGGTGCAAGCCATGGGTGCTTCCCAGCCCCCCTGGGCCAGCCAGGAGAAGCCGTGGTAGGACAGAAGGCCCATAAACCACCCTCTTGGCCTGTCTTGGAGCTGCAAGACCCAGCAGGTTGGGATGCCAAGGACAGCGAAGCAGCACATGAGAAGTCCTCGTTCGCAGGATCCTGGGTGGAGATGGATCCTGGGGGTGCTCAGCCAGCTGCAAACAGGAACACTCCTCTCTGTCCCAAAGCCGAGCACGCCCACCCGGGGGGAGCAGGATCCCAGCGTGGAAATTCCCACAGTATCTAGTGAGGAAGCCAGGCCTGTCTCCCTGGGAACCTTGGCTGCAGCAGGGCTCATCAGCAGCTTCTAAAGCAGGAAGACAGCGCATTGTAAAGCAGATCAGGCTGATTTGCTCTGGCCCAGCGCAGGGACAGGAAACAGCACAATGGTCCTGAGTGTACCGGAGATGTCCCGATTGTTGTGCTCAGCAATAGCCTGTTCCTATTCCTGCACCGTTCCCTCCGTCAGCAGGGCAGGGAAAAGCCCTGCCAGAAGGGACACACATCTTCTTGCTCTTTGAAGCAGCCCTGCCCAGAGTACCAGGGCTTGAGCTTTCTGAACAGCAGCTGTGCTGGATTCCTGGTGTAAGGGGGGCCGCTGGGTGTTGTAGGGACCTCCATCCCCTTCGGAGGGGCTTGTGAGGCTGTTCCAGACGTGATCCAGCCAAGTTATTGTCACAGCAAGGAAACCAGTGGCACAAAACTGCTCCCAAAATCCAGTGTGCCTGAGGTGAGCTGCAAACAGACCGTGGTGTGCAGAGCCAGGGGCATCACCAGGGAAAAGCTGATTTCTCCAAGCAAGTGAAGAAGAGCAGAGTTATTCCCCAGCCAGGGCCAGCACACACAGGGAGCAGGCACTGACCACAAGCACTTCAACAAGGAACAATTTCTTTTGTCCCTTTCTTAGCAATCAGCAGGGCTGAGAACACACTCAGCAAACCCCGGGGGAGCCTCGATGGCTTTTCTGAATGGCTCCCACCGTGGTGCCCCATCTCCCTCACTGTGTTTCTACTCCCACCAAGTAGGTCAGGGAATTCATCTGGAAGCAGAAGCATTGTTGGAAATGGGAAATAACAAGTGAGAGGCAGCCTGTGGTGTCCAGCACTGAGGCTCAGAACAACGTGGGGCACACAGCTCATCCACAGAGCTCGTGGTTCAGATGGGAAAAGGCTTGGGAAGCGGCAAAATTCATCCACAAAATGATCCCTTTGGAGAAGCAACCCAGATCTGGATTAATCCTTTCTGATCAGGGCCACAGGACTGCACAAAGACATTGGCTCATCAGTTCCAGAGTAATTCAGGTTGGAAGGAGCCTCTGGTGGGCTCTGGAGTCCAACCCCCTGCTCAAAGCCCCCAGATCAGGGCACTCAGGGCTGTGTCCAGTTGAATTCTGAACATCTCCAGGGATGGAGATCCCACAGCCTCTCTGGGCAGCTCCATGTCTGACCAACCTCATCACAGAAAACCTTTCCTTAAATCAAATCCCGATTTCCCACGTGGGGTCCCAGACCAGGAACACCCACTGCCAGGGCTGGAGGAGGAGCTGGGGCACCAGGGAACTGTACACAAAACAATCCCATACCCAAAATGCAACCACCCCAGAGAAGGAACAAGGTGAGAATGGGCCCAGGGCCAAGAAGTGTCTCCACTGTAGCAAATAGGATGTGGTAGAGCAATTCACTCTTCCTCTTTTGATCCCGAGTAGCTAAAGGGCATCTCTTGTACACTTCAACTTGAAATAACCCGTTTTGAGGTACTCCCTGCCCTAGAAGCCCTCTCCAAGGTCTTGGTAGGGCTGGGAAAGGTCAGCCAAGGTGGAGAGAGCCAGGGCAAGGTCCCCAGCCCCGGCCTGAGGGCAGGGTTTGCTCTTTCCACCCCAGTGGGGTTGCAGAGGGATGGATGCACAGGGGAAACCGTGGGTGGCTGAAGCGAGAAGCAGCAAAGTAAAGGTCAGCAGGGCTTGGCCTGTCACCCTTGGAGCCAATCTCTGAACTCCCTCGAGGCACCACGGGAGAAACCTCAAACCTTCACTTCCCTTTCCCAGCCTCGGCCGGTCCCCGCTGCAGACAGTGTGACACCAGCAAGGGGAACAGCCCCCCAGCCCCAAATCCTGAGACATGCACCCAGAAAGCCCTGGAAAGGGGGGCTCCCTGAGTGCCCCTGAGGTGTCCCAGGAGATGGAGCTCCCAGGGGTGCAGGGATGGGAAGGGTGATGCTGGCCCTGCACCCCTGCAAGGACGGTCTGGGAGCACAGTTGGATGGCACAGACTGGGAGCAGTGGGACAGAGGGGTGCTCTCCTGCTGCTGGCCAGAAACCTTTACAGCTGGCAGCCAGAACATTTGCCAGCTGTCTCCAATTGCTGCTGCAGGCACTCACCCTCCTGGAGCTTGACACTGTGCAGGTACAGGGGGTTCCTCAGCACGTTGCAGCGCCCGGGCTCATCCTCCTTGGTGAAGAGCAGCAGGTCCGAGTACACAAACAGGGTCACCTGGAAGCACAGGAGCAGCAAGGAAGCAGCTGTAAGGAATCCATCTCTGGGCACTGAGACAGTGTCCTGGAAGTGTCCTCCACCCTGGGGACAGCAGCAGCCACAGCAGGCAGCCCAGGCACCCCTTCCTGAGGGGCTGATTTCTGCTGCACCCCTTGGGGTGCTCCCAGCCAGCTCCAGATGAGGCTCCTCTCCACTTACTGGGGCTTGTGGAGTCCTGTGACAGGAGGGACAAACCTGCCCGACAGTTTAACTCCACACAAACACACCCTCTCTGCTGCCTCGTGTCACTTCCCATTTGCATAAGTTATAAATCAGAGCAGGAGGAGGGAACTGTTGCTGACTGAGCCCCACACGTTGGAGAAGCTGCAGCCTAAAAGCAGATCTGGTCGCCCTGAGCACACTCACGAGGGAGCTCCTCGCTGTTCTCTGTGAGAAAATACAGTTTGGCTTTGACAACAGCAGGAGCCACGAGAGCAGCTGCAGGGAACAAACCTGACACCTCTGAGCCACGTGTGGGTGGAAGGGAAACACTGACCCAGGTGTCTGCCCAGTGCTGTGCCCCAGCAGTGTCTCAGGAGCTGGGAGCCACTCCAGAGCAGTGGGAAAGGTGAGTTTAGTTCTGCTCTGGCTCTTGCCTGAGGTCCCCAGTTCAATCAGTACAGATTAAGGTGATCTTTAAAATCAGAACAAGCTTCTGCACTGTACTGGAGATCCTTGAGCCAGGAGCTTCCCAGGGGTTGAGCAGCTGGGTCCATTCACTGAGCCACAGCCAAGGTGACAGCCTGTCCTGCCCTCCAGCAGGAGCTGGGGACACAGAAACCTCAGAAGACCAGGGAATCACAGAGTATCCTGAGCTGGAAGGGACACAAAAGGACCATCCTGGCCAACTCCTGGCCCTGCACAGACACCCCAACAATCCCACCCTGTCCCTCAGAGCGTTGTCCAAACCTTCCTGGAGCTCTGGCAGCCTTGGGGCTGTGCCCACTGCCCTGGGGAGCCTGTTCAGTGCCAACCACCCTCTGGGGGAAGAACCTTTCCCTGAGATCCACCCTGAGCCTGCCCTGACCTGTCCCTGTCCCCAGCATTGCCAGGCAGTGGTGCAGTCTGGCAGTGGGCACAGTGCCTGGCACAGTGGGCACACTGGGCGCCAGACCTGAGGCTGCCCAACCACACTCAGCATTCACCCAGCACAGGACACCTCGGGGTGTGCTCCCCAAAACCTCCCTCAGCACAGGGAAGCTGCTTTGCAACACCCACCGACAGCAGGGAATGGGTTTGTGGCCTTTTAGCCACCCTTTGGCAAAAGCAAACAACACCCAGGGGTGTCCCAGGGGCCGTGGGGAGCGAGCGCCGCTGCCACCACCGAGTCCCCCGTGGAGAGGGGACCCTGCCCAGACAGGGCCTGAGTCACTGCTCACAGGGACAGCTTGTCCCCGTGCCCAGCAGCTGATGGACACACGTCCTGAGTGGGACAGGCTGGGGAACACTCATCAATCACACGGTGCTGAGTCTCATGTCAGGGCAGCAGCTCCTGGCTCTGAGCCCAAAACCGAGCCCTTGCCACAGGATTCCTCCTTGCAGCATAAATTCGTTTTTTGTGGGATTCTCAGTAAGCACAAAGCTACTGGTGGAGCTTTAACTGACAATGAAACCAGGGAGGGGCTGTTCTTCCTTGTGTTATTTGGAAAATCCCTCCCTGTGCTCTCAGCACTCTGCTGGCCCAGTGCCCACAGCCACCCTCTTCATTCCTTCTGACCTCGTTATTCATGCAAGGAATAACCAAGCACAAACTGCACCACAGGCTTCATCCCATGCCCACCTTGTGCCAAAAGGTGACTTTCCTGGGACGTGTCTGGTGCTACCACTGCTTCCTCAACCCCAAAAAGAGACGTTCAGGGATTTTGAGAACAGCAACCCAAAGTGGAGGAGATAAAAGCACGACCAGCAAGTGGTCACATTGGAAATGGAGGAAAGGAACTTAAGATCTACTACCCATGGAAGTTTATAGAGTAGAAAAAAAGATTAGGATCAGCAGGAAAAAGAAAATCACTTCAAAACCAAGCAGGTTTCGATAGAGAATCTTGGAAACAGAATTACATGAAAAGGATTTACAGGTAACACTGGGGTTTTATGGGTAGATGGGATGGACTGAATTCGGGATGTGGAAGACAAAAACACACCCAGTGTGGGTTATGTGAGAGCATCTCTGAGATGCTGCTTCCAGGAGGACACTTGGCCTTAGAGCAGCTCCACACAAAAGGGTTGGTGGAGGTGACCTGAGAGCTGAGCACAGGGAAACTCAACTCATGGGTGGTCATGGGGCAGCAGGGATAAGGGGGGAGTCACATGGAGCTCTGCCCTGGGTTGTCACCACTCTGCTGACAAGCTGTGACCTGTCTCTAACAGCCCTGGGCAAACAGAGCCGGCATCTACCCCGAAAAATCACAGGGCTTGTAAAGGCAAAGAGCAAACAAACAAGAAACACGTCTGAGTTCACCCAGGCAAGACACAAAACTCACCAGAGCTGCACCTTGGAGAGGCAGAGGAGCTTTGTGTATTTCCCAAAACTAATTTCCTGCCCCAAGAAACAGAAATCCAACAGCTGAGAGGATGGAAGGAGGACTCTCTGAAGATAAATGGGCACCCCTGTGCTCTTGCTGGAGTGACCAAAGCCCCGTGGGGATTGTCACACTTCAGGGGGATGTCAATAGATTTCACAGGGAGGAAAAAAACGTCCACAAAGGGTGACCCTGCTGTCTCCACACTGTTTATCTGGCTGTGCTCTGCACCACAGCAAACAGCAAAGCCTGTGCTGCTGAGAGATCCAACCAACTGCAGCACAGAACTGGCAAAGCCCTGTGACAGCAGAAAGGGACACCTTTAGAGTGTTTCCTGAAGGAAACCAAGAGCAGCTGAAAGTCAGCAGGGAAGGTAGAATCTGTGGGCTAGTGTGGCTCCCAAGGGGAGAACACTGGGGATGGGCATGACCTGTTCCTTTGCTCCTGGATTCTTCCTTCTGCATATATCCATATTAAATGCACCTTCTCCAAGACTGATAGAATCACAGAGTATCCTGAGTTGGAAGTGACACACAAAGATCACTGAGCCCAACTTCTAGCCCTGTACAGACACCCCAGCAGTCCCACCCTGTCCCTGAGAGGATCATCCAAACCCTCCTGGAGCTCTGGCAGCCTTGGGGCTGTGCCCACTGCCCTGGGGAGCCTGTTCAGTGCCAACCACCCTCTGGGGGAAGAACTCAGCAGCCTCTTAGCCCACAGTGCATTTATTCACCCTCTTTTATTGCCTCACACATTATTTTTTTCTCACAAGGTTATCACCATGGAATTCACACCCTTGGGAAGGAGCTGAAATGCTCAGTCAGGCTTTGAGGAAGACAAAGCACCACACTTGCCAAAAGGAGTTCCATGGTGAAGGCTTTAGCTGTAAACCTTGACCCTCAGCCTGCCTTATCTGGAGCAAATATTCCTCTGTCATGGACATCAGGGGTGAGCAGGCACTGAAAACCTCAAGGGGTCACACACTAACCCTGAGACACCGAGCAAGCAGTGGCTATGCAGGTGGGGAAATGGTGTGGAAATGAGGAAAAGGAGGATATTAAATGGTAGTGAAGAAGGGGCAGAGTAAGTGGGACCAGTGTGGTGGAGGGAGGAGGTAAAGGCAGGTTTATGGCATTCTCACCCAAATTAAAGTGCCTAAAAAAGGGCTGAAAATGAGCTTGAAACACCTGTGCCAGGGAGTGGGGTTTGGCCAAACTCAGTCATCCACCAAACCAGGGAGCTGGAGATCCTGGCCCAGCACAGGAGAGCTGGAAACTTGCAGTGCAGCACTTGGGAAAAGAGAGAGGGAGAGAGAGAGGTAGGAAAGCCTCCTGCTCTGCAGAGAAGAGCATCACCCTGGGCATGCTGGTCCTTGTCCTCCAGTCCAGCAGAGCTGAAGGGAGGCCCATCCTGACCTGCAGACCCTGTCAGGAGGGCAGAGAGGAGAGCTGAGGAGGGTATGAGCATGGCCCACACTGTGCCAGTGCTTCAGGGCTTTGGAAAGGTGCCTCCAGGTCCATTAGAGGTGGCTCACCGAGGCCAAAGCCCACGCTGGACACCTCATGTGCCGCCGTCAGCACCGCGCTGGTTCCTCTGGCACTCCACGGGCTGGAGGGATTTCAGGAGACCATAAAAGCGGGAATTGCAACAAAGTCTAGACAGGATGTGATTAAGGCCTGAATAAGGATTGCCCCAGAGGTAAGGTCAGGGAAAGGACAGATCCTGGCAAGCCTCCAGAGAGATAGGTTGAGTCCTGCAGGAGGTGGGAGAGCGCTCGCTCGGTGACAAGGATGCAGCGCCCGGTGTGGAAGCTGCCACAGGGAGAAGAGCCTGGCTTTTGGGGAAAAGAAGAAAGAAGCAGGATCTCCATCTCCAGCCCCTGCACCCACACCCTCCTCTCTTGAGCCACTCAGCCAAAGCAGATTAATAACGAACAGAGAGCAGTCCTGCAAACCACGGGAGCAGCGCTCCAGCTGGAGAGAGCCTGGGTGGGAAGAGCAGTGGGAAAATGGAAAACTACATGGGGCAAAGAAGACAAGGATGGATTGGAAACAAGACAGCCTGTCCAGGCAGCAGAGGAGGCTGGAGAGGGAAAGAATTCGAGTCCAGCAAAGAGAGAAGTCAGAGTCCTTGTGCATCAGGAGAAGCTCCATTGAGTCCAGGCCATTGGAGGTCTTGCTGGGTCCAGAGGTTCAGGTTCTGCTCTGCTGCAGGAGGGGAGTCTGGCTTTCCAGAGGGACCTGCACTGATTCCTCAAACCTTCACCAAGCCTGCCATGGCCCTGCCAGACACTCAGACATGAGAGAGCCCTTCCCAAGGGACATGGCTGATGTGCCAGGAGCTGCTCCACTGGCAGCTCCCAGCCAGGGCTCGGCACCCCGGGCTCTTTGCATCCACCACGGCTGTTTTTCCACTCTGCTTACTCACCCCCTCCTGCCCTGCCCCTCTGCCAGGCTCACCCAGACACCACAGCTCTGAGGCACCATCCTTCCCAAATGCTGTCTCACATTCCTGGCCAGCACCCTGCCCTTTCCTGGCACCAGCTCCAGTGGGAAATCCTCTTCCAGCCTCCCACTCATCCCGAGGGCATGAGACGTTTTCCTTCTGATCCTGCCCACAGCCAGGTCTCTGAGGTGGAGACAGAGCAGCACCTCTCCTCCAAATACTCTTATCCTAGGGTTTTCCATCACTCACATGCTCCACCCCAGCTGCAAACAGCGTTAATTATCCATAATTATCCCAACATTTGGCTGCTACTGAGACGTCTGACCTGAAAGGAAGCACCTCCAGACCACCCAGGAGAAGCTCCCTGACTGCCCACTGTATTCCCAAGCCATTCCCAGCACAGCTGTGCCACACAACCAGGTGTCTCCCTGGTTTGCATTCCTGCCTGTGCCCAGAAGGCCCTGAGCAGCACAGGGCAGCAGGACAGACAGGGGAAGGTGTTCACAACTCACTGCCAAGTTTTCTAATCAATCACGTAATTTTTCTCGTGCTTTGATGTACTTTCATGTACTTTTTGAGAGGGAAAACACAGTGATTCAGCTCAAAGCAAGGAATGAATTACACACTGAAAACCAGAGAGAGAGAGAGGAGTCACTAAACATAGTCCTGGACTGGTTTGAACTGGCCAGTGATGGGAGGTGGCTCTGGGGTTCTGCTGTTGGCCACCCACAAGGTGTTACCCAGAAAATAAGATCGGTGGAGTAGAACTTCCTTTAAAGACCTGTGAAGATGACACATTGTTCACTGCAACAAAATTCAACCCAAAATCACTCTGTACAGTGGGGAGATTCTCTGAAATGACCCCAAAAGAAACTAGTGAGCAATGCATGGGTGGGCTCTGCCAGCTGCTGCCTCCTCTCTCCCAGATTCCAGGGATTTGCAGGCTTTACAGTTGGATGCAAGTGAAGCCAGCAGCAAATGTGATCAGCACATCCAAACTCTGACAGTTTGGGTGGTGAAAGTGGTCCCACCACAGGTGCAGGGTGATGCCAAAGCTCCACTGATTCCCCAGATTTCTATCAGCCCTACAATAACAGGGCAGGAAAGCTGGAGTAAGAAGAGAGGAATTTGGACAGGACATGTGACCTCTTTTAGGAACTAAATTTCAGAAAACCCCTGCAGCAAGTTCTCTGTCTGGTTCTAGTTCTGGGTTGTGGATTCTCCTTCCCTAGAGATGTTCCAAAGCCGTCTGGATCCAGTCCTGAGTGACTGTTCCAGGGGATCCTGCCTGAGCAGGGAGGTGGGCCTGGATGACCTCCAGTGGTCCCTTCCAGCCTGAACAATTCTATCCTTTGATTCTCTAAACTGGCACAAAATATCCTTCAGCTCCCTCCTCCTGAGTCTGCTGGGCTGGCACTGACATGTATTTGTCACATGCAGTTTCCTCCCTGGGAGCCCAAAGGAAGACAAGAACAAAAGTTGATTTCTAGCACATTAGAGTTTTGATATTTATTTAGTTTATCCCACAATAAACCAACTACAAGTTTTTCCAAGTATCATATTAATATAATTACTGCACAGTTAAATATTTCCCTTCTCAATGTAATGAGATGTCCCTTCCAGTCCCTTCTCAAAGTCATTTCCAGTGCCCAAAGGGGCTCCAAGAGAGCTGGGGAGGGATTTTAGACAAGGGATGGAGGGACAAGACATAGGGAATGGCTTCCCACTGGCAGAGGGGAGAGTTAGATGGGATAGTGGGAAGGAATTCCTCCCTGTGAGGGTGGGCAGGCCCTGGCACAGGTTGTCCAGAGAAGCTGTGGCTGCCGCACCCCTGGAAGTGTTCCAAGGCCAGGTTGGACGGGGCTTGGAGCAACCTGGGCTGGTGGGAGGTGTCCCTGCCCATGGGTAGGACTGGATGAGCTTTAAGATCCCTTCCAACCCAAACCACTGTGATTCTGTGATTCAATCTCCTACATCAGACTGCAGGAGAGCAGGTTTAGGAAGCTCAGACAGCAGAAAAACCTTACCTGTGTAGTCCTGTTCCTGCTCTCGTGAAGAAGCAGCTCCTCTGACAGAAGCAGAGTCCGGGCTGGGTTGCAAAGATCGAGGGGCTGTGTTTGAGAGTTGAAAAAAAAGAAAAGAAAATGAAAGGAACAGTCAAACCTTCCACTGACAGCGTGGTTTGCCAGAATAACTTTCCACCCACCAACCCCACTTTGTCTTCACTTCAAGCTGTAACACATTCAGGGAGAAGCCACCCCACACCGAGCTCACAAGGACACGCAGTCTGCAGTCCAGCTAAGTGAGAAAACAAAGCCTTCCCCTCACACCCACGTCAGCCCCAGCTGCAAAATGACAACCAGCCCTTGCCTCTGTGCAGGGACTGCTCTGCAAGGCACGGGGTGCTTACGAGGGTTTTTCAGCAGGAAACACAACCACAGTGGTGGCACAGCAGGTTCTCACGTCCCTCAGACACGAAGAGTTGTGATCTTAGGGATTGTTCTTGCAGTAAATTAAAGCAACTTTGAGAATTCCTGTCCCTTCATGTGCCACGCTCAGCTCCCCATCCATCACCTTCTCTGTGAAATGGTGGAGAAAGGGACAGGTTCAGGTGTCCTGAGGGCAGAACAAACCCTGCACAAGCAGCCCAGGACCATCCTCGGGAGCAGCACAGCCAGTGGGAACAGGAGGGGACCTGCACAGGGCCCGAAGTGTGAGACAGTGCCATGCAAAAACCGGCTCCTGAAGTGGCAGAAACACCCCAGTCTGCATCCAAGACGAGTTTAGGGAGCAGGAGGAGGCAGAAGTGCCAGCTGTGTTCCTACCAAAGGCAAACCATGCCCAGCCCAGGCTGGTGCACACGCTGGTGCCAAGGTGAGCGGCCACCCTGGGGCCGTTGGGAGGATGGAGGTGGGCACACCCCTGCCCCAGCACCACCCCTGCCCCAGCACCACCCCTGCCCTGCACTGCCCCAGGCAGCCCCCTGGCTCAGCCCATGGTTTCCCTTTAGGAGCTGAGGTGACAGTGCCACTGCTGCTCCCAGGGGAGGATGGAGCCCTGGCAGCTCAGAGATCTGGGATCCATCAGCAGCATATTAAAACATATGGATTAGATGAGTTTTCTTGGGGTTCTGGCCATACAAAGGACAAAATGGAGGGAATACAGAGGGAGTTACAGCTGCTACCTCCAAATTCAGGGCTGCTGCTCTGGATCCTTGTCCGTGATTTTAGTGCTGGCCACCAGCTAAACTAAAACCCCTTCATTTGCACACTCTGACAGCACAAAGGACCCTTGGGAAGGAACCACACTGATCTGCAATCACAGAGGTGGTTGCTGAAGCTCAGAAGCTGGGATACCTTCTGACTGGAGCAAGCACTGAGGACTAGATTTGAAAGCTGAAAAGGGAAAAAAATCCATCAGAGAATCACTTGGGCAGGACACAGTGAGACACACTTTGAGACAGCTCCCAGTGCTGTGCTGAGCACAGCCAGCTCCAGAGGAGAGCTGAGCACGACAGGGATCCCTGCACTCAGGGAAGATACTGCTGGGAAAGAGATCCCACCTGCCCTGCTGGGCACTCATCCCCTCAGGTCTGCAACACCTCGCTTCCAGCTGCACTCACCTGCACAAAGATGGGGAACACCAGCACTTTGGGGGCCAGGGTGACGTAGGTGCCGTAGGAGTGTGGGATGTGGGGCCTCACTATGGTGCAGTTCTGGTAGTTCCCGTGGCTCTTCATGGACTGCACGGTCTTCATCAGCCTGGATTTCCTCCCAGATCCCGTGTGGGATTTGCCTTTAGGAGCATTCCCTGGGTGGACAGAGCAGGCAGAGAGAAGCTCAGAATGGGGAGGGACCTCCTGCATCGCTCTGCCCACTGCCAGCTCGGGGTCTGCTCTCAAACACGAGTTTGAACAGATATTTCTGAGTCACAGGAGCACCGAGGAGCTTCCCACCACTGGGGAATGTCTGCCTGCACCACTGGACTATGACCCTCCTTTTCAGGGAGAGGAAAACTATCCAGGGTGAGGGAAAAAGAAAAGAAAAACTCTGGAAATTTAAACATTAGAACATTTTTATCCACACAAGCCTTGACTGCTCTGGATTCTGGGCATGGGACTTGGCAAAGTGCAGGAATGTCATGACATAGGGCACTGGCTGGTGGGTTAATCACAAGATACTGAGATTGGAGGTGGCAGGGAGAGGATTATAAACACATTCATGCCCATGGGATCAGTCCATGCCTTTCCAAACTGCTCCCAGGGATGTGGTGGCTATTCAGACATGGGGTGTATTTATAAAGGATGACCTCACTGTGCCTGAGGCTGTTGCACCATCCACTGTTCTTCAGCATCACATTTTGGTGCTGGAAACAGCCCAAGCAGCCTGACTGGTGTTTCACCCTGTCCCTCTTCCCTGCCCAGAGCTGTTCTCCTCTCTGAAAGCAGGGATTACATGTAGGATTTCCTCTGCAGTCCCATGCTGGTCCAGCAGAGCTGTGACCTTTCCCAACAAGCCAACACCAGCTTCCACAGCTGCCAGTCTGCATCACTAAGAGGCCAGGAGACACAAGGTGGGATGGCAAACCAGGCCCAGAATCTTTAAAGGAACTGATAATCCTGTGATTAAATTATCCCCAAATATTTCTGTTCCCTGCTTGCTGCTGCAGGGCTGAGTCCCTCCATCCCCCACTGCAATTGCTGCTCTGTGGGATTCCCGAGCCCTTTCCTCCAGCCCAGAGGAATGGAATACTCTGGAATACATTCAGCAGGCTCCCATCAACTTTTTTGTGAGACCCCACCTGCAGAGCTGCCTCCAGCTCTGGGGACCCCAACACAGGAAGGATGTGGAGCTGCTGGAACAAATCCTGAGGAGGCCAC